AATTTGCGACCGTGCACGCACCAACTTCGCCTGGGGCCCTTCAGACCTGACATTCCCCCCCCCCCTCCCCGGGCCCCAGTGCGCTGGTGTTAGATGTGGCCGCACGTCTGGGCCCGGCGGGGCGGCTAACTGACTGGCGCGAGCAGGGCCCGACCAGGGACGATGATTCATTTGTGCCTGCCTCGCGTGCCGGCCCGCCGTGGTACAGGTCAAATGGCCCTCCGGCGGGCGGGGGGGAGGGGGGGACACCAGAGGGCCTTGCCGGGGAGGGACCGACCGAGCAGGGCCCGGAGAGAGGCCTGTACGCGCTCGGTTTCGTGGCGCCGCCATGGAAAGCGGCCCGGCCCCGGCCGGCGGAGCCCAGGACCCAGGTGCCTGACTTGACCAGCGTAGCCTTGGGGAATTGGGCAGGGCAATATGCCCCGAGGTGCCGGGTGCCTGATTAAGTGCCTGGCCACTTGCTCTCCCTCTCTCTTTCGACCCCTCGGTCCCCTCACATGCATGGGCATGCGCGCCGCCCGCGGCCGCCGAAAGAGGGGACAGGAGGTGAAAGGGGGGGGGGGGCGGCCTGCCGCCGCCGCCTGGCTGCGCTCCTTCCCGAGGTGGCCAGGGGGCGGCCTGGCCAATGTACCAGAGGGTGACATGGTGCCGTTATCGTGCGTGCCCGAGCGCGCCCCCCCCCCCCTCCAACTGATTCGCTCTCTCAGGAGCCGGCCTGCTCCAGGGGGGCTGTGCGGGCCGGGGCGCGAGGAGGGTGCTGGAGAACAGGGAGCCAAGCAAGGGCGTGGCCATGGTAGCCCGGCCTTCCGTCCCCGTGCCTCTGTCCCCTCTCATCGGCCAACCGCGTCCTACATCCTCCGCGAGCGCATCAAACATTCGCCCGGTCCACTTGGGAAACGCATCCTGCCCTGGTGGTGTGCATGGACAATGGGGACCTCTGCAAGCGAGACAGGACCAAACATAGAGGCAGAGGGTGGCCAGTCACACGCACGCATGTACACAGGCGCGCACGCATGGACCAACATTCATCCGTCCCACTGCCCCCCCCCCCCCCCCCCCCCCCCCCCCCCCCCCCCCCCCCCCCCCCCCCCCCCCCCGCTGTTCCCACACACGCACACAGCACGCCTGGGCCACAAAAGGCGGGGTAGCCGAGAGGGCCAGACACGGGGCAGGCACGGGCGCGGGCGCGGGCGCGGGTGACTCACAAATCCCCGCACGAGTGCGCACTCAGACGGGGATGCTGGCGTGGCGGGCCCCTGTGGCGAAGGCGGTTTCACACGCGGGGGCCGACGGCGACACAATCGAGCGATCGCGCGGATCCATGATCCCCGCCGCCCGACGCGCTTCCTCGGGCTTCTTGGGGCCGGTGTCTCACTCTCCCGCCCGGCCTGCGACCGGGATGAGGAGAGAAAGCCATGGAACACGGAGAAGTGCGCCCGGGCGAACGGCGGCCCAAGCGCCCGGCCGGCGATGCACCACCTTTGAGAGCCCACTCCCATCCGAGTGGGCCGGTCTCCCGCCCCCCCCCCCCGCCCCGAGCGCACATGTCAAAAAGTGTGGGAACTCCCGGGTGCGCCCCCTCCCCCCCTCCCCGGCCCTCCCTCGCCCGGTCCCGCCCCGTCCCCGTTCCTCTGGCAGGCCTCATGTGAGGCCCTGACTTTGTTCCAGGGCCCGAGATCCGGACCCCTCCGACGCGAGCCCCAGGCAGGGAGGGGCACCACGTCCATCCGCCCTTTGATCCCCCCCTCCCCCGTCGCGTCGCGTCGCGTCGCGTCCCGTCGCGGCTTGATTCCATGGTGCCTGCCCCGCGAGTGGGACCCTTTGGAGCAGCGACGCAGGATGCACGCCATTGGGGCCGATAATTCCTCAGAGGCGCGGCGAGAGCCCAAAAAAGAAGAAGAAGAAGAAGAAAAAAGAGCCCCTCGCTGGCGGTGCACACTGGGCGCGGGGGCCAGGGCAGGCGCAGGTACCCCTCCCAGCCGCCCCCTACCTCCAGGGCGAACACATACATTGCGGCCTTCCCGGTTCAGGGAGGCGCAGCATACCGGCGGCGGGACACTCACGCGCCCGGCGGACCGGCTGGCGGCCGAGCCGTCTAGAGAGACACGTCTCGTAGTTCGACCGCCAGAGCGCGGCCCGAAATCATCCTCCCACAGGCGTGATCGGAAGGGCCACCCCGAGGCCAGGGTCACGGGCCCGAGGGACACCTCCGTTGGCACTGCGCGCAAAACAGGCGGGAATGTTGCCAGCCTTCCACACAGGCCCAGTACCATGGGGTTAGCCCACAACCCCTGGGGCGTGCCCGCGGCCCCGCATCTGCCCCGACTTCTCTCCCCACAATCCCCATCGAGCACTGCCAGCGCTCGGGGGAGCCCTGCCGTCGGAGCATGCGTTTGTTTGTTGCCTGACACCTTGGCGCGGGAGGGCCTGCGCCCGCTATGCATGCCCTGCTCGCCGGAGACAGGCCGAGGGGACTGGGCGTGCCGGGTCTCGGTCCCCGCCGCCCGGGCTTTCGCTCGCACCAGGTGCCCGATAGACCCGCGCTCGCTGTCTCGCCCCGGGTGTCGGTGTGTCATGCCCGTGGCCGGGGTCTCGCACGGAGGATGTACACCATGAGATCACCCCGGCTCCATGTGGGTGTGGGTGTGCGCGTGCCGCCAGCACCTTCGGAGATCCCTGTCGCCTCGGGGCCCGCGGGAATGGAGCGGGGGGCGGGGGACGGGGGGCGGGGGGCCGCGCGCGTGACCCCCACACCCTGGGAGGCAACTGAGGTTGTGGGGTGTGAGACATCTCTTCCCTTTCTCCCCGCTCAAGGGCCGAGTCGGGGGCATTCGGGTGTTTGCCTGCCTGCACCTGCGGGACGCCCCTGCCCTCGCACTCTCGATGTCCTGCCCCGTCCCCGCCCCCCCCCCTCCCCGAACAGATTCAGCTCAAATGTACGCAATCAGACCATGCTCCTTGGCATCGCCGGTGCGCTCATCTTCATGATGGGGCCAGCGCCAAGGTGCCTGGGCTGTCGGCTCTTTCAACCACAAGGTGCCTCCATCTGTCATCATTGGGCATGGGCCAGCGGGGTAGGCACATGCAAGAGGCAGGGCCAGCACGCGGGCCGGCCGACACAGCGGCGGGGGGACCCCCCCCCCCCCCCCCAGTTGCCAGCATTTCCACATGTAGATGACGCGCGGAGAGCACGGCTCGCCACTGCTCCCAACCCTCCGGCCTGTGTCGCAGTCTCTGACGTCGGTCCCCGGTCAAGGCGGCCGCCTGCTGGGGCCGGGGGAGGGGAAAGCCCCGCGGCCATGGGGCCCCGCACTGGAGGCCGTGTGCTTCCCTGGCAGGCCGCCGGTCCGGCGGAAGGCAAGGGGCAGGGAGAGGGGACCACGGAGGGACGCCAAATGCTCGTCCTGGTGGGGGAAAGAAAAAAAAACACGCATGTGCCCAGGCGCATCCACACCTCGGCGCTCGGGCGCGGCTGCACATGTGCCGGAACCCGGCGGCCGAGGCCCGGCGAACGTCGGCTCCCGGGGAAGGTCGCGCCCCGGTGCTCCCCTCGATCGTGTCGCCCCCTGCCCACATGCGGCCCCCTTGATGGGCCCTGCGCTGGCCCGGTCCGTTTGTCCCGAGGGCCATGCGTGGTGTACGCCGTCGCGCGCGCGCGCGCGCGCGCGAGGCAACGCCTTCAGCATGATGGGGGCAGGAACCGCCCACGAGAGGCGGGGCCGGAGGGAGGGGGCGGGGGGCGGGCGGGCGAAAGAGGGGGCCACCCGGTCTCGGGGGCCTTCCATCCCGTGGCCGCGGCTTGGCCGCGGGCCGTCGACCGGGAATTTTTACTTTTTTACCACCACCCGCCCCCTTTTCCCTTGACCCCCCCCCCCCCCCCCCCCCCCCCCCCCCCCCCCCCGCCAGAGGTTGGCCCCCCCTCGGTGGATGCGGGTGCGCGTGCGAGTGTGGGTGCAAGCGCGCATGCACCCCCAAGGGGCTCGGCCCTTTCTCCATGGGCGCGACCATTTTGCGCGGCTTCATGCTCCACTAGACGGGCGAGACCTCCCGTTCCCCCTGCCCCCGGACAACAAGGCTTCCCGCCTCTCCCGGATGCTGGGATGGCAGAGGAGGTGCCCGGCCCCGGTCAACATGCAACATGGCTACTGCCCCCCCCCCCCCCCCCCGCCCCCCCCCCCGCCCCCACCCCCCCCCCCCCCCCCGCCCCCGCCTCCGTTGGCCGCTGGTAGGCCCCTTCGGGCCTCGGAATCGGGGAGCCCTTGTCGAAGGGCCCCCGATCCTGGGCCTCGACACCGGGCCCGGGTTGCCCCCACCCTCTCGGCCGGCCAGCCGGCGGGTGGTGATGAGGTGCGGCCTGAAGATCCCGGGGCGGGGGGTTGCCAGACACTTCGGCCCCCGGCATGAGACAGAGAAGAGGCAGACCGGTGAGCATGATGGCGCATACGTGCGCAGGGTGCTCCGCGGCACGCGCAAAGGCCGCCCCGCGGCCGGGGGACTGAGAGGCCGCGCACAGCCTGGCGCCACATCTGGCCGCCGGCGGATCGGGAGCGAGGCCGGGGAAGGCGCGCAAGAGACAGAGCCACCAGGAGGAAAAACGCACGGCAGACATTCGCACCGGCGCCTTCCCCCCTGCCCCTCCCCACACAGCCGACGCTGAGGGAGGGGAGGCATCGGGCCAGCCCTGCAGGTTGCATCGTTCTTTTTTTTTTTTTGCCACCCCCCTGGGCCTGCATCTCCACCACATGGACACTAGTTTCCTCCACTTCCCTCACCCCC